AACTTCTTCCCCTCTTGACTCGGCCTGCCTTTTCGCCAATTGTCTGTTATTGCTGACCGTCGTTTGATAGCAACTTCTCGAAGTAAGCTGATCCCCGGCAATCTCTCCTACGTTTTCACCCACCGGATATTTGATCGTCATGTGGTACGTGGATACGACCGCCTGGAATGCATTCAAGCTCGTCCGCCCCATGATGATGTTATAGGATGACTCAGCACCTACGACCACAAATCTCACCATGCGCACCTTTCTCAGCTCTCCTGATCCCAATGCCACGGGCAGGCTGACTTCTCCCATCGGCATAACCTCTCCTCCATTAAAACCGTACAGCGCCGTGGTCACCGGTTTCAGCTCCATATTCAGCTCCCTGTTGATCTGCACGAAACAATCATAGAACATCACATCTACCGAACTCCCGGTATCAATGAACACCCACCCTCTTCACATCAAATCCTGCGACCTCTGCGGTTATCACCAAGGCATCATTGTGTGGCAGGACCACTCCTTCGGCATCTTCCGCCTTAAAACTTATCACCGGCATTCGAGCCGTAATACTCAACTCCTCCCTCCTCCTCTTCATTGCTTGAACGTGACCTTTCCTCGCATTGTTTGAGTCTCCGTCCGTCGGTCCTCCTGAAATCATATATATTGTGCCTCTTTTCACCTGGCCTGCATCTCCTTCTCTTCTCCGCTCCCTACTTCCTCGCCTCCTCTTTCCCTCATCCCTTTTTCGACCATCTCGACCACCTCGCGCCTCCTCATCATCATCTTCCTCACTCCTCTCGACCGAGTCCTCCCGACACCTTCTCTTCTCCTTCCTTCTCCCCTTGTCTTGATAAACAAACTCCTTGAGGTGTCCTGCTCGAATGAGGCGTTCTATTTCATCCTTGAGGTGCCGACAATCCTCAGTAGTGTGGCCATAGTCTTTATGGAAACGGCAATATCTCCTTGACTTCGGCTGGGTGGGCCCTTCGAACCTCGACCTGGGCCACGTCACTTCTTTCTCATCTATCCTTCTCTCCATAGCCATCAAAACCTCAGCTACTTTTGCGTTCAAGGGGGTGTAATCATGGAATCTCTTTCCCCCAGAGATAGGTCGATCCTTCCACCTGTCCTCTCGCCCTCGGTCTTGTTTAGCTCG